ACAAACTGTCCGGTTCAATAACCAATCGTGCTGCGGAAACGACAAATAATCACCGCAATCCATCATTAAAACCTTACACACTAAACATCGTAGATGCTTCTAGATCTATCTCGTCACGGTTGATATCACTGACAGGACGTAAAACGGGACCACTTAACTGTCAGTCATAGTCAAGACACTCGATGAAACCACACCCTCATGGCAAGAGGTTGTGGTTTCATCGAATACAGTAGAACCTCGCTAACTCGAACTCCCAAAGGAAACGAGAAATGGCTCGAGTGATCGGGATTGGTGTTGAATTTCAATTATCCTGTTCATGATTTTAATTAGAAACAAATCATGTCGTTGTTTACCATTTGGTTTGGGAAGTTTAGCTGAATTTACGTCTTCATACATGTTATCAAGTTTATTGCAATCGCTATTAAGATAGGGAAGGGTCATCACTTAGAAGTTTATCGACCGACATTGTCACTTAGATTCGAATTATCCGGGTAAACTTGAGCCAATAAAAATTAAAATTAGTTCGAGTTAACGTACAGGCGACCCAAGCGTACTGTGTGTGATTTTGGGGTTTAAAGGCCGTTAATAGGAATACCTAACACAACACGCGGTACAAAGAAGTCGCCAAAATAATAGCGTTAAACGATCGTAAGTGGCAAAGCGGCTACGGAATAAAGATAAGGAGATTTAACACGTTATATTTCTCGCTTTTATTATCCTTTTTATTTTTTATTTATTTATCTTTTATAATTTTTCCTTTTTTCACGGGAAACGCTTAAAATTAAATCTTAAGATGTTGGGTATTCCCGTCAATGACCTTTAGACCTCAAAATCTCACACATGACGCTTGGCGCATGGGGAGTTAGCTGATAGTAAATGACTGGTTTCAAATCGAAGTGTGTATTTTCAGAACTGGCTTTTGAAAGTTATACTTGGCTTGCGAATCCATTGCTGCCATTGCGCTTGCTTTCATGGTTTCAGTGTAATTTTATACTGGTCGAATTAACTTAAAACTTTAACTCGAGTGATATATTTTGGTCACCTGTATATCACTATTATTCATTTGATGTTGAAATTATTTATACGCTCTCATAATTCTCGTTAAACCCAAGGAATTTTAGAGGTTGTGTCTTGAAACGAGATGGAAAATGTCATATTTTGCTCTGAAATAGGATCAGGATTTTGAGAACCAGGTAGAGAACCCCTTTTCATGATCCCTCTCCCCCTGGGGAACACTAATACCTTGAACCAACCTGCAGGGTCTCTATGGTCAGTTGTGCCAGTCTATCGTTCTCCTCTTGTTCCTGTCATTTCGTGCAAAAAAGAAGAGCAGTTTTCACTTAATCTTCTGTACGCACTACTGTTCTTAAGTCTCAATATAGCTGGCAAGTAAAAATGCCCGAAAGAAAGAAGGACAAGAGCAGATAATGCCCCACCTTTGACTTGTTTAATGCTGCCGATTCCTCTAGCTGTTTCTTACGTTCCTTTCTTTTAGCCAGCTCAGCTTTTAGGTTTTTTAGTTTCGACTCATACCCCAACGATCGAAGACGTTCTACTGTTATAAAAGTAAGAAGCAATAAGATCATGTAAGCTCATGTGAGGAACTTAATTCCATCAAAAGAAGATCAGCTACCTCCGTTATAACGATGTGTCTTAAACCATGGTGCAGTATGAGTCCAAATGGCTAAAAACCCTGCAAGATGAACCCTAACTTCTAAATTGGTAAAAACGATGTCCCGTTGGGGGGGGGGGGGGAGGAGGGTGTGAAACAGGGCGAGGTCAAGTATAGCTCTGGTGAACGAAGAATCTCAGTACCTCGATACTTGGTCTAAGGCCCACTATTTTGCGAACTCCGCCACTCCTCACAGCGCAGAAGTGTTTCAAAGATTACAAGCTGAATCTACTTTCCTTGTAATAATAAAGCAAGTTATTGATAAGCATACTACTGTCAATAGTCTATTGCCTTTTTCGTGCAGTTTCCTAGCAAAAATCTTGTATGCTGGAATTTAACCAGAAGTCATTCTTTACTTATTTCGGCAAGGAAACATATAACTTTGAATTACATGTTTTCAAATGACGAATAAAAATATCTTACACTCTTCGCTGAGTTTGACATTTTTGGCTTTTTGTTCTGCTATGCTCTTGTAGATTGGGTGATTTTTCTTGCATTCTGTGAGTTGCTGGGTATATCCTGCCATCTTTTTCCTATATCTCTTGTACAATCTACAACCAAGAAAGCTATTACCGTTACCTATCAGGTAAATTATTCACTTATCATTTTTTATGAAGAACATATAATCTAGGTTTTTATGCTTCTGCTTTAACAACTGAGCTTTTGTAGTGATTATGACAGTTTCAGAAATTGAACCCCAACCTTTCTCTGTGTTTCGGTTTGCAAGTCATCAGATACCAAATAGATCCATAAATGCCTCAGTTTCTCTTTGTTTTCACAATGTGTTATGATTGGTCGGAAAACTTACGCTACCCTGCTGACCAATTGAGTTAAAAACTTTACCATATTTTGAAATCACAGGTCACAGGTGATCCTTGCAATCTGATTGGCTCTCATCAGTACGATTTAGTCAGGAACTACACCATTTTTTGCTCTAAATCGCATCTTTTTCCCAGCCAATAAGAAACCTTCAATAAAACCACTCAATACAAGTACCAATATGAATCAATGGTGCCTCGATCACTCGCGTTTTCTTTGACTCCTTGTTATAGTTTCCTTTTATCTGTGTGTTTGGCAGTTGGTTTTAGGTTTGATACTACGACAGTCAATCGAGATGCACTCTGTTATGAGCTTCATATCAGGAGATTCCATATTTTGAAATGAAGCTGCTTTCTCAAAAAATTCTTCTTCGCACCGGAACGTATTTATGTTGAGCTATTTTGCCTTATTGCTTACTGTCTATCCCTCTCCAGTTTATCATTTGCGATGGCAAGCTCCTTTATTAGTTTACTTTCAGATGCAACAAGGGCTGTAACATCTACAACGAAAAACGAATGTCAGCATGCAAGATAAATAGGAATAAGCACACTATTGTAGAAGGTTCAGTAGGTAAGAAACTTTTTGGACGGGCTCTAATTATTTTTCGCGGCCACAAAAAAAGTGAAAAAAAGCTATAAATGTTGTTTTGATCGAATAAATTGCAGTTGTTTTGACCAAACGCACAAAGAAACTTGCTGCGAGGTTTGAATAGCAGGTGCAGTTTTGTTGGTCTTTGAACAAACTTCACCTGCTTATGGAGAGAAATAATTATGTTCCCTTGCTGCTTTTCTATTCCAAATAACCATGTGATTACCTGCACCAGTTCATTATCACTATCATCACTTTCTAACGGTATTATTGTTGAATATCATCATAATTATAATAGGGATTATTGTCATCATCATCATCATCATCATCATCATCATCATCATCATCATTATTCCTACTTTTATTATCGTTATCGCAACCCAGAGTTTCAGCACTTAAAAGTAATGTTAAAAGTACGAGAAGACCCAAAGTGTTGGCTTGGCACCCCATATAACCCCGTGTGCGAACGTAATAAAAATAATAGGAAAGAAATAAAAAAACTTTTATACCTTTGTCAAGCTCTTCGCACCATGCTTTCTTTTTAGAAACCTCCTCTTCCGTTAAATAGATTTTCCTCGAAACAGCAGCAAGGTCTGACTTCACAGAGTTGATCTTCAACTGAACTAGAGAAGAGATGGATACTTTCGAGAAAAGTGCTTGGTTGTCAGTAAAGCAATTTCTGATTCAAATCGGTAATCAACGCAGAAATTTTACCTTGGTAACAGTTATCCTGATTGTGCCGACCAAACGTGAATAAATGAAGCAAAGAACAAGAAAAAAATTTACTGCAGTGAATGTTCAAAACGGCAGTAAACTAAGTAGAATTAACATCTTTATCAGTTTAGCGTCGTATCAATTTACTTTCAATCGATCACGAACTTCCTGTCTCTGACTAAGCTCGTTAATCTGTTGCCTCTGAGCGACAGCTACTTCTCCTGCCAAATCTGGAAGGCTGGCTGCTTCCGTACGACTTGCGTCTCTGGCGTCCTCAGGGAGAAAAGCTTCAAGTCCGCCTGTTTGTCCGGTCAACTGAGACGCTACCTCTTCCATCGAATGTTGCTTTAAATGGTCAACTATCCGAGTGGGTTTCGGTGGACTGGAAAGTTCCATGTTTGTCTGATTCAATGGAGGATTTCTTAGAGAAAAAAAATTAACTAAATTTTTGTGTTTTGGTGAGTGTGGAGCTCCCGGTAATTTCCCGCCAAAATACGACGCGGTGCGCCATTCACACACACTTCCAGTTTCCAGGCTTTCGCCCGGCCCGAGCCACAATCTTGATACAAAAGTTAAACCGATCTATAACAGAAAAATATACAGATTCGAATTAACATCACTTTGCAAAAACAATAGATGAGAGGGTCCAAAGATTGCCCAAGAAAACCAAATTTTCAGGTATTAACATCAGGAAAAAGCAAAATAGATATCAACCAATTTGATATCAAATTGATTCTGTGACAATCCTGTGGCCAATCACTAACGCTTGCGCGAGTTGCTCATCTGCTTCAAGTGAGTGCTGGGAAGGATTTAATTAAAGCTCAGAGTATTATGTAAGGTGAGGGAACCATTTCCAAGCCACGGCATCATCGGCTCTGCTCACCGCTTACCATAAATAAGCTTTTAGTTAACTCTGTTTTCTTCTATTATCTCCAAAGGAAACTTCGAGCCGTGAATCTAGTAGACAAACAAATTCCGTGTTGCCGTGCGTCTGTACAGTAAAAGATGACAGATGACGTCAAAATATGGAAAGAAAATAACGTGGCTCACGAAAAGCAGCCAAGTGTGTCACTGATGTCTTTGCCACATTAATATGAGCATAACATCTATTTGTCTTTTGAAATAAGAGTTTTGCATAACATCGAAGAGTTTGCAGTAAATGGTTTGAACCCAGGGATATGCGAAAGTGTAGTGTGATCGTCCGGGTGAGTGTACTCCTGAGAAGAACTGTTGTCGGTGGTGGTGACTGACGTTCCCACAACCTGTGCGGAAGTCATTATCAGAGTCAACATCTATTTGTCTCTTGAAATAAGAGTTTTTAATAGAGACATTATCTATACGTTTTTTCATCAGTCACCATACCTAAAAACCAATCAAAATGTATATATGATTTGGCTTACTATGACTACTATGTAACAAACCAATTTGAATGAGGTTATACACCTGACGACCATACCGTCAAGTCTGTATACGAGACTCCCTGGTATAGCTCCCAGAGCTTAGACAAGTTTCCGTTGCCCCGGGCGACCAGGAGTATTGCTAAGTCTTCTCTAGACAATTGGATGTGATGCAAGTTCATCTTAGACTACCCCCTCCCCCTCCTGTAATGCGTAAGGTTTTCCATGACAGCTCACTGGTACATAGTGGGAGTAAACACAACAAAATGATCTGCCCAAGTTTCCAACCCGGATAGTTGTTAAGCAACCCCATCTCCCATATGTACTACAGCTAGTTTACAATCAATAATAGTCGAGTCAGCGGCAATCATTATCGAGTTTTTATTTAGATTTCCTGACAAAACATGTGCATGCTTTCTTCAAAATTCTTCCATACTTATTCATTAATTTTTCCATAGAATTCCGTTCAGAACAAAAATTCATTCCCTTCTTCTTTTTGCTCAGGTTAGTACTTGAGTAATAAATATTGATCATAATGTTGGCACTTTTAGCTTTTTAAATTATATTCATTGCAAAATGACCTACTTTTCATTTATCTAGTAGGTAAACAAAATACTCAATCAAGATCTTATTTCGCTGACTTCATTTCTGACCAAGGAGTCCACGAAATAAGTTCGTTCCACATCATTGTGTATCTCTAATTTTTGAATCTATATCTTTTTTACAAATTCGTCTCATCCGCATTATTCGAGATAAAAGTAAAAAGCTGTACATTCAAATTCGCATCTTGTTACACTTCCCATAACTTATAAGGTATTTAATGTAAAATCTAGAAGCGCAGTCGACGCCTTCAAAATTGCAATATTCTAAGAAAATTTGTCAATAAGCAATGTTTTTTCCCCTCCCTATTTCCCTTCCGATAAACGTAACACTCAACTTAACTTGCAGAAACGTTAGAGTTCGGGTATACAAGACATACGAGAGTATAATTTTCGTCGTGTCAGTCTTCGCCAACCCTACTCAGATTCTTTCCTTTAGGTTTAATTTTACCTTCATAGTGTTTTTCAAAACTAACAAACGATTTTTGTAAGGTTTTCGTTCCAGAGTGTATTTTGATTGAGCGGCGTGAAAAAAAAAAAAAAAAAACATAGAAAACTCGAAAGCCAATCAGAACATAGGTAAATACCATGCGGGGCCAATAAAAGTTCAAAACCAAACAAGAACATCGTATGCTGTGCGGGAAAGCACAGGTTTTTAATCTGACTGGTTGAGAGGGAGGCGAGAGTGTTCTTAGCCAATCATAGTGCGTAGCAAAGCAAGAACCCAAACAATCCCGGGTCACCTTGAAACTCAGTCTAAAATTACTAGTTTGCAAGAGGCTATTCTATTGTACTCTTCGATTAGTCAAAGTGTCTTGAAATAGCTTCTTTGTGCCGACGTATCCAAAACCTCTAAGTAAAGATTCAGGTGCTTCTAATGAGGAGAGTCGTGAACTGTAATTCTAATAAGTAACGTAAAAGCGTTCTTTCTTTTCACATTTGCTTCACTTACGTTCTCTCGTTATTGTTAGTAGTACCACTACGGATTGTTTAGTCAGCGTTTTTATTTAATCGATTTTGCATAAAAATATCACCAACCTGCGCGGCGAGGCGAGCAGAGGTCTTAAAGCTTTATCACTTATTGTTCCAAGGTACTTAACAACAAAATTATGTTGGTTCCAAATTAAGTTTTCATCTCCACATGAAAATTGTTCCGTGTTTCACGAAGGAAAACCTTCGTCGACTGCTGATGGTATTCATGACCAAGGTTTCCTTTCAAGGAGTGCCCAGTTGTACTCCACGTTCTCCACTCACATGCTGATGGGTTTGTCCTTACAGGCATTTTGACAAAACGAGCTGATTTTTCGGAGAAACTTCGGGTATTCACGTTTTGAGACGGCTCGTACAACCGAAGGTGGAGCCCACCCTCCTGGATTAACTGCAGAAAAAAAGAATACGCAAAAAAAAGTCAATAAAAAACAGGGAAAAAATACAATTACAACACAACACAAAGTAAACACGTTAACGGTTTGTTCACACTGAAAATTTTACAGGTATCATCTTGAAATTCGTGTTAATTGTCTCCCATACCATTTGCAGTGTAGGTAATTTTGCAGGTAACATGATCTCGAGTGAGCTTCTCCCCCTCTGCTCTTGGTTCAATAAACGTCTGACAATACAAACCCACCACGATGGCGGCGCCTACAAACTTGTTCATCTAAAGAGAGGGCAGTCATATGTTAATAAATAGTAAGAGGAGACCATTTATGACTGGACTTGATTTAGTGTGAGTCACAAGTATTAATCAATCTGTTAGACTTGAAAAAATTCGAATCAGTGGTAGAGACAACACCGTTCAATTGAGTGTAGTAGAATCAGAGCAGTTTTCAATTAAGTGTACATGTCGTTAGTAACACGGGATTACTATGGTCTTGCAATACTTCGCTCTGTGATTGGTCTAAAATATTCGCGCCATTTTTTTTCAGCCAATCAGATGCAAAAACAACAACAACAACAACAACAACAACAACGACGAGTTGGTTACTCGCGGTTTCCCGCGCTTCGGGAAGGTTGCCAGTCCTCACTGTAGGTTTTCATTGGCTAATGATGATGTTGATCCCTGTTTTGAGACTCATCTGATTGGTCGTTGCCAACCTGGGTTTTTACTGTTCGAATCCCATTTGAGAACTTATCTCAAACCCAAACCAAAGCAATCACAGATTTCAAAGTAAATAAATGCAGACAACCACATGAACGGAAAAGCGTTGGTTACGAGGTCGCTTCCCCGGACCAAATTTCCTAAACCAATCACAGTGGCCCTATACAAATACTTGAAGAGCAGACAAGTTTTAAGTTGGAATATTTCAAACAAATTCTTTCAAATTTCACACACACACGAAGCATGCTATTGATGTCTAAAGACATAACATGTGAGCAAAGTGTATCCAATCACATTGTTAAAACTCTTTCCCGAAGACCACTTGCCACAGCAAACTTTGGAATATAAAACTCGAACAACTGTTTCAAATTTTCATCCTAACAAATTTAAGCAATAACAAGTACCGGAGCATCAGGATGTTCCATTGAATTGTTGCAAACAATCCACGGCCGACCAACTTCGTTTTCTAGTCTTTCACCAGCATCACTCAATGGAATTTCCCGAATATGTGAAAGAAAAAACGGTGTCTCTCTGAGATGATGGCCACACCCGCTTATAAATCTGATGCATTATGATTGAACTCTCGCTGAGTTGTTCCAAAACTTTTGAAGACTCCAACGTGCCTGTACATGAGATAAAAAAAAAAAAAACACCAACACGACCTCACTTTAACAACTGAACACTTCCAATTCTTTTTTTTTTAATGCTCTAGATTTTGATTTGATTGATGTACTACTGGTGAAAATTTGTTCAAGGATTATCCACACGTTGAAACAAAGGTTTTGCCTATTATAAAATATTTGCATCATATCTTATTTTCTGTACATAGTTCTCAAGGGTTGTTTGAATTCTCTGTGCATGTCAGTAATTTTATCTTTAACCTCACTAATCTATAGAAGCTTATCAAAGCACAGCTGGACAGTATTATTCTTAAGTTAGTCATTATCATAATTGTCATGATGATTATCATTATAATCATATCGTAATAGGCCTAAGGCTTCTCTCAATTTAGGCTGTCCTCATAACTTTTTTTTCATGCAGTTATTTCCAAATTGGACAACATGTAATCCTATTATATATACCTATTATAATTACTGTTATTGTCACTAGTATTGCTATTATTAATACCTCATTATAATTAATTAATTAATTAATTAATAATTAATTGGACAGCATGTAATCTTATTACATTATGCCTCTTATAATTACTGTTATTGTCACTAGTATTACTGCTTTTAACACCTCATTATAATTATATATACAAGTTTATGTTACATGTAAATCATTATTATTACAACAAAACAACCAAATGGTGGAAATAAAAGTTTTCTTCGTTATGTGCTGCAGACATCTAATTATATCAGTTGGAGAGCAAAACCATGGTGAAAATCCCATACATGTATGTTTCATAAAGTACCGTTCACTGATACCTTACATTTCCCCAAACACCACTACCACTCGGGAAAAAAAAAAAAAAAAAAAAATGGGAAACTTGTATTGACCACAAAATATTATTGCCATAAAAGTTTATAGCAAAATCAAACTTACTCTCCCAATCCATGCGAACATCTTTGTCAAAAAAGTAATGAGCCATCTCCCTGGCTGTGACACCCTGTGGGAAAATAGAAAATAATGTAACTTTCATGAAGTGTTGTCTATTTGCATGTAAAACCCGGGGGTTGTTATATACCACAAAATGTGGACATATCATGAAATACTCAGTTAACACCCAAGTCACAATGGAGGTTCAGGCTGCTTGGGCTTGGGTGCTAGAAAACCTGACTGGCCTGCCGAACCCGCAACCCAACCACTAACCCCTGTGTCAAGCACCCTATAAGTACTTGTCATACTAGAGCCTGAAGGCTCAGTGCCAGAAAAATAAATAAACAAATAAATGGTCAACTGAATAAATAAATAACTAGAAAAGCAATTGGGGATAGGAGGGAGAGAACAAAGAGAAGGTATCCTCAAGGATGACAAAGCCACACTATAGAACAGTGACCACACTGAAACAGTGAAACCTGGAAAAGCTGATCAAGTGTGAAGTTATAAAAACTGAAATGCAGAGGTATCTTCAGACATTACAATGCATTTTCTAAGTACCTGTACAACATGGGTAGCCTTCATGGGATCCAGAACAATACCTCCTTCTTCATAATCTCGTCGGTATACCTGTACCAATAAAAAATCACATACATTTAGTACAGCAGTCTGGGAAGTCCACTCACAACTCACTCTTAAAACAACAAAGGGTCTTGGTGTACAACAGTAACAAAAACAATTTCTTTCATCATCTTTATGTTTAATTTTTCAGACATATCCAGACTCAACCAAAAATTTAACGAGAAAAACATCTGGGATCATACCTTTAAATCTCCATCTTCATACACTAAGTTCCAGTTGTCGTCCACATTTTCCAAAACAATTTGTAAACTTTCCTTTACATTTTCATCAACCTTGAAAAGGAAATAGCAGTTTTAAGGCATTCAGCAAGTGTTTTCTTCTCTTGGTCTCAAAGATCCTTATATGTATTTATGACTGAAAGTTTCAAACAGTGTAAGTTAAAGACAAAAACAATATGCACTACACAATCTACAACTGTTACAGTACTGCAAATGGCTTGGCAAGTGTTGAACACACATACATGTATTAAACACATTTGAAGGATTGACCACTTGATGATTATAGGAAAAATGTAACAAAAATAATTTTAAGTTAAGCACTCTCTTACCTCTGTTTTTAGTCGATGAGAGGGTTCTTCTATTGTAAGCTCAGAAGGAGGCATGAAGGTGCTAATCTGAAAGTCATTCTAAATCAAAACAAACCAATTTCATTTCATTTTTGAGGGAAAATGGGTATATGCAAAAAATTAAAATAAATGTCAAAGGCACTGCTGAGAAGCAGGAAGTGTAGTTTACTCTATGTTCACAAAAAGTGACTATACAATTGCATTCTATCACCTTCATTCTTATCCAATAAATCAATTCATGAGAAAAAAACTTTAAAATACAAATAAGAGGGTGTGGACACACTGCAGTAACTATTATAATAATAATAATAATAATAATAAATAATAATAAACTGCCACCCGGTTAGCTTGATTGGTTAGAGCGCTGGACTGTTGTGCTGGAGGTCAAGGTCGATGGTTCGAGCCCTGGCCGGACCAACACTCAAGGTCTTAAAATAACTGAGGAGAATGCACTACCTTTCTTTAAAAGAAATGGATAAGCATTCTAGTCTTCTTGGTTAAGGACGAATAAACATACATACATACGTTAGTTGACCACTCCCCATGGGGGCTTTTCAGGGCCAATTCCCACCCATCCCACCCCAGGGGAGGACATCCACAACACAGTAATCTCGTGTGTGGGAAATTAACGTCTCCTACCCCTAACCCTGCAGGAGACAGGGCCTACGGTTTGTTCGTCCTTATCCAAGAAGACTAGAATATCTATCCATTTCTTGATTATAGAAAGGTAGCAAATTCTCCTCTCTTATTTTAAGGCCATGAGTATCGGTCCGGCCGGGGCTTGAACCCTCAACCTCCTGCACAACACAATCTGGCGCTCTAACCAATTGAGCTAACCGGGAACTTGAAATTGAACTAAATCGTAGGTCCTGTCTCCTGCAGCTATTAATTAGTTAATTTGGTTAGGCAGGGGGCATTAAAGAACTCACTCAAGAGATTACTGTGATGTGGTCTGGCCTGTTTACTGGGAATTGGGGGAGGGGGCATCTTCAAATAAGTTTCCTTCGATTGTTTGTAAACTGCTGATGCAGTCTGGCCAAAGTCCCCCGAAAAGTGTTGTGATGCCCATTTGATCATACCCACATGTTAATTTGCACAATATAAATGTTAAATTATTATTATTATTAAATTATTATTAAATTATTATTATAATTATTGTAATAGTTACTGCAGTTCATCAAAAACACCAACCGTAGTAGCTTCTGCTTCATCCTGACGATCAAGAGCAGTTTCTATTGCATCATAGAACTCTTCCTCATTCAAAGCACTGTGTGGTCCTTCCTAATATTACAATAAAGAATGTAAGTCATGTTTGAGGTTACATTAACAGTGGCACAGTAGTAGCAGAAGCCACTGCAACATTTGAAGTATGTTTGATGCATGCAGTACATTGCATTATCACTGACTTGACACTCACTTTATGTACCTGTCCAAGCAAAAGCTTGTAATAATGCAGTTTCTAAATGCAATAACTGCGTGCAAGATTGCATGCAGGTTATAAACTGGACTTTACGTTTCTGTATTGATGACATGAAACACGAAAAAAAATTGGAAAGAGTATCATGTGATGGGTCTCTGTTGTGAGCTACTTGGTCAATATCAAGACATGACCATTCTTGCTGAAGATTACTGGGACAAAATGTTGTGCAGTCTAAGGCCATTTGTAATAATACCTGCACTGTACTTGCAATTAAAAGAATTGGCTAAATGGACAGTATACCTTTTAACTTTCAAGCATGAGCCCAATTTAACAATCATGAGCATGATTACAAAAGAATTGGACAAAACAAATCCCCATCAGCAATCAATCAAAACTCTGACAAAAATTGATAAACAAAAATGTGCTTCTAAAATAATGAGAGCATATTCGTTGGCTTTTTTTATATGCAAATAATGTCTACACTATCCATCACACATACATGACATTCAAAATGTCCTTCTGTGCATTGCCCACTTACATGCACAACATGAACACTGTTCTGTGAAAACTGGATAAACTAGATACATGCACAGTGTAGCTTCTAAACAACTGAACTCAGGTCCTTACCTCAAAATCTGGACCTCCAATAAATGCCTGTTTTCTGGCATTAACAACTGCTGATTTTATAGCTGCTTCTGCCTTTTTACGCTTTTCTATTTCCTTGAAAATTTAAAGCACATAATCTTACGAGGTAATTTTCAAGCTATAGCACAACGAGGCATTGTAATGTACTGTATAAAACACTGGATTAACACATTTTTTTTTTATAGAAGTTATAAAAACTGTTGTAGAAACATATCAATGACAGCCAATCAAGGATTGATTTACCAGTAAATACTAATACAGGATCAATACCATCAATCCTTCAATCAACTTGGGCCTGATCCTTTAAATTTTTCTTTGGCACTTTGGCAGTCCTTTTTCAGGGTGGCTATCAATACCGTAATTTCTGGCCATTTACCCGTGGGTAATCTGTTGATTTTGCCTTAATAAACATGTGCCACTGCAGGTAACAGGGAGGTGCGGGTTATGTGACAATTTTGAAATCTACTGGTAGTTGAATTGAAAGAAATTCTCACCTACCTGGGTTTCCACCTCTAAAATGAATTTTATTGTATTAAAAGTGCCACAAAGCGGCACAAAAACATGATGCCAACTCAAGTTTATTTCATACTCAGTTAGTTGCGCGGCAAGAAAATTTTTATTGGCATGCATGTAAACAAAACCTTGATGGTGACAAAAATAATTCAAGGATATCTGGCGCATCAGTAACAAATTTCCAGTTAACACTAGCTTGAGCTGAAGAGAATTTTCCTGTTTTAAGGTACTTGTTAAGCCCAGTAGAACCTGAGATTATATTGATTTTTTTGGAGAAATCAACAATTCAACGAAGCGTTGAATGAGTGCTCGCAAATGAGGCCATGAATTCGCATTCTGTCGAGTGTGAAACATTGAGAATTCTAGAGCCTTTTTGAAAAAATTTTCTTTGCTTTTAAGGTGGGGGTTATCCACCAGTGCAGGTAATCTGTTGACTTTTATTTTTACCATATGCAATGATTGGACAGTTCTAGTAATTGGTCAGAAATTACGGTATTTATATTATGATAACATAAATTTAGCCGCCAGGGATAAGATTATTCTTGGTTCTGGGAAAAATAGCTATGTTGATATAGTCAATGCTGAAACAAATCCTAAGGAGTTTGGGCATTGGTTTTATGAGGAAATCAAAATAATGCATCTCATGATAAGATACACAAAAAATAGAAGTGTAGTGCTAATCCCACAAAAGATGTATTAGTTACCTTGTCCAGTCGTCTTTGCCAGTGATCCTCTCTCTTGTTCATGATATCAATGCAGTGTTGAAGAGTGGCCAAAATACCGGTGGTAGTTGCTTTAAACGTGATGGATTCTCCCCTGAAATCCATCCCTTTGGCATTTGCAATTGATAGAACTGGTGGGCTGTCAATGCCATCAGATGCTGCTTTCCTGTTGCCTAGGTTACCAGCCAGTTGATTTAAGGTGCCTGGAGTGGGGGTAGTTGAAAGTTCATCCATTTCATCGTCAGCATCATTATCCACTACAAAATACAAAGGTTTAAGTTACACCAGTACATTTGTACATTGTACTTCATAAGAAAAGGTAAAAGAGCTTATGGGACTTTTGAAAAACTGAACTCAAAATCATGTAATGAAAAAATTTTAAATTTTAAATCATAAATCACCTTAAAAAATTAAATCCATACAAGGCTGTGCTCTAAGAAAATTTTCAGAGAGCCCTTTGGGCTCCCAACCATTCCAGCTAGGGTCTTCAGCCCTCCAAATTGGTGGCCCAAAAATTAATTAATTTCTTAATTAATTAACCAAGCAATCAATACTTTATAATTAATTTATTTCATGTTTTAATTTGTTAATATTTAATCAAACCATAAACTTCAATAATTCAAGCTGTTTAGAAAGCATTTAACTTTTGGTGTTGCCATTTACAATATATAATACACTGTCATAACTTCTGGCTCCTTTTCGGCTCAAACAAGTTTGACTCCCAGTTAATGGGTTCATCTCCTAATATTTTTTTACAGCATTAGTGATCTTTAAGATCACCATTCTACAACTTGAGTCATCTGTGAAGCACGCCGATTTTAAGTAAAGCAATAGGCCAAATGACCGAAATAAAATACCTCCCACATTGAGAGATTTTCCATAAAAATTTCCTTGTTAGTCCATTTTTTGTCAAAGAAGCGAGGAGCAAAAGAAAAAAAGCAGCACATATTGCAACTGACTAAATGTGGAGAGCTGAAAGTTCTGGAAAGTCGACGAAAAAGTGACCGGTACAATTAAAAATAAAGTTGTTTGTCTGGCCATGAGAACCATCAGGAAAGGTAATCGGTACTAAATCGTGGCGCTTTGAAAGTGAAACACTTGTTTTTTTCGAACACTTGCAGGAAAGCTGTGGGATTGTGGAATAGCTACATTTTAGATCTTTTTCTGAAAATTAAAACTTCCACACAGAGGTGAGCTTGTGTTATTTTTGAAAATGACAATTGTGTTTCTTTGGATATTTTAAAACCGCTTAGAACTTCCGTTCAAAAGCACCAAAGTAAACAAGTCTAAATATGAAATCGTTATGCTCAGTTCTTGCTAAATCTTCCTAAAGTAATTGCAAGTCGCTTATCACAGCGATTGATAAACACCTACAAACAAAGCTGGCTTGCCAGAAATTTGCATATAGAAAGAATCCTGGTTTGAAAGAAAGATAAACGCCCTACACTTTCTGTTGATGTACTGGTAAGTGTGCCCGCATTGCCTGCATGACCGACCATGACTCTGTGCGAGCTTTTAAATTATTTCATGTGCTCTAGGTATGTGTTAGCGATCGTGTTCCATTAAAATTATTGTTTATGTTAAATTTCTTGCCAACTGATTTCCTTCTCTCGAAACAAATCAACACTTTCGAAATCCATCGAAACACTGAAATAAATCAGACATTGATCATCTCAAGGAAAATTGCAATGTTCAACGCATCTTTTTGCAATATCTGCGCAATTTATCACTTGTGAAGTGACAGGAACTATTGTTTCAATAATTATTATTTGGGTTTGTGCGAAATCATGTGGAATGAAACATGACAGTTACTTCAAAATCTTTGAACGTGAACAATTTGACTACGAATCATACAAAAGAAGATTTTTTCTGCTAGTAACGCTTATAAACCAACCAAATAAAAGTGTAGCAGTCAATCGCCAGATGTACCACAGAGGCGAATGCTGCACAAGAGGCAGAGTGCCCAGCTGGGTGACCGGAATTGGAATATATATTTTTTCAGTTGCCTGGGACCAAATGTTAGTCACCTGAGGCAACCGGGTGCCACTAGAGCACAGCCTTGCCATATGAAGGTTTTATTAGATGCAAATTGGGATCTACAGTATCTGTACCATCAGTTACAGATGAATTGCATTCCTTACCATCCTTTCAAAATGTCTAGTACAATATAAAACGTCTATCAAATTCATGAAAAGAATTTAAAATGATTCTTAAACAGCTCTCTACATGAAAAATGACTCAAAACCCCAAAACATGTAGGACACACTCATAAAAGTTTTTCTACAATTATTTTCCTGATTAGCTTACACCCATCATTGCTGCCAAAGAGATCATGATCATTCACGTCCATATGAGGAACTTGTTTGTGATTCCCACCAGCTCCAGCACAAGCGTCAAAGTAGCTTTGAAGAGTGTCTATCTGCTGACAGACAATGTCTCTGAAGGTCTCGAGTTCCATCAGCTTTTCACGCAGGCCTCTCCCTTTCTAGAAATGTAAACAGTTTAAAATTGGATAAATGTACATCAAAAAAGTAAGACTGAGGGCATACATAAAAATTTTACTACAAACCTTAAGATATTGTGAAGTATACTGAAGTCATTAGAAATTTTGCACCTGAGACCTTATAAGCATTAGATTACAGGTATTTCTGTTGCATAAGAAGGTAATTAATTGGAATAATTATTTGTTCATTTTTATGACCTTTGCCCTTCCCAAACCCAGACATCTGAATTTCTTTAAAATTCCCATTTGAAAGGACAATAGCAGTCTTAAAATTTGTCTCTAGGAGGTACAAATGTGTACAGCAAAAATTAGATGTTTCACAAATTCTCCGACAAAATTTACCCAAAGAGTTTCTCTTTGAGATGAACCTACCTACCTACTTTTGCCAAAGGGGAGATGATGGTAAAGGAAACATTTATTGAGAGAAGCCCTAAAGAAAACTATTAGGGCTTATGAAGCAACATTTACTGTAACCAAAATATAACCAAAAAGATTACTGTTCATCAAATAAATGTAGCTGGCAAGAATGGATTATTTTAAATATAAGTGTAAAAACAAACAAAGTACTTTGAAAGAAGAAGATGATGCTGTTGTTGATAAACTTGTGACAGATGACAGTGAAAGCATAGAGCCACCTTTTCTGAGACTTGACTCTGAGCCATAGCCTGACTCTGCTGCCTGAAAAGAGACAAACGAAACAAAATAAATAAACAGAATGCTTGTTTGTACTCAGATTCAACAGCAAAACAACAGCTTGTTCTTGAATTGTAGGGTTGATATACAATGCAGCATGCTCTACAAAGCTTTCTCAGTTTGGAACATGGGGGGAATTTTTTTCCTGAATATTTCTTAGTAGACAATTAATTTTGATCAAAAAATTTATCTTGAAGAATAGGAACCTCTTCTAGATCTTCATTCAACCTGCTTTCTACCCACATTATGAAACCACATTATTCATGGTACCATTTACACAGACAGAAAACCGAAACACTCTTTAATAGCATCTCTTATATAATAATATTATAAGTGCTTTGCAAAAGTGTATAAAATAATGACACAAATAAAAGAAAGGTCACAGCAGTATTACAAATAAACAAAAAACAATACTGTCAGTAGCTGATACAAATTAAAAGTTTGATATCAAAATAATGGAAGAGCAAATATACAGGTTAATGAGGTTCAAGTGGCCTAAAATTGATTAATTTAAACACAAAACCACAAATACAATGTATGTTTGCATTAACTTCAGTCTTAATGAATTTAATTTTTGTCACTAAACCCACAAGTGAAATGTTTGAGCTTACTTTTACAGCTTCTAATCCATCAACCCATTTCTGGCGTAGATCCATGTCCGGTGCCCTCAAGTAATACATGCAGTCATTTACACTGACGTCAAACCTACATTCATCAAATTCGTGGGGCTGTTAAGAAAAGGATTAAAAATTGGTATAAAGATAAACCATTTTCATAATTTAATGCTTCATGTATAGGGTGTTTGCTGTACAAAATTCAACCTTATTCCATTTTTTTCTCTCCTTTCATGTTTCCTAATAACTTGCTTTCTTTTAATATCTATTACAAAGAAAAGCAAAATCAAAGTATTCAGTACACAGTACATGTATCTAAAGTTGCAAATGAGACCAAATTCAAAACACACATTGAAAGTTCCAAAAAAAGAACTGAGGATACCAGAGGTATAGCAAAGACAAAGGTTGACACACATGTTAGGAAAAAGATAATCTAAAAAATAGAGGTGTGGCTCCATTAAACAATTCTTCTCTGAGGGATATGCAAGAACACTTCTACTGATTAATTTCTGGAGTGATAATCATGTGATAGGCACTTCTTTGGTTACAATCTCCCTACATTAAAACATTATAATCATAATTTTTTTAATTTTAAGAGGAAATGCCATAATGTTGCTTTGTTCATTGCACTGAAGGTTAACCTTGGTGAGAGTCAACTTGTCAAATGCTGAAAAAGGGTAAATTTGAATGCTCATTGCCTGTACTGCCGACCCCTATACTGAAAGACAGGAGCAGAAACTTTGCATCATGGGAGGCAACAGAAGAAATTTTGAATCAACCAACCTTCTTGAATTGAAAAAGAAAAGACAAAGTACTAAGATATGACCTATTTCAAACAACCTGTACATGTAAACCTTAATTTGAAGCTTCTGTCAATGACAATGCCTGTCTGATATTGGCCTTGTCAGCTGTGAGCATACTTCCAAATAACTCAACCCCACCCCTCACTAAAACCATTGTGTAAAAAGCCAAGCCAAGAACAACTCTGAGTAACTGTAGTCTTTCCCACCAATAAGACCACAGTTAAGAGTTTGCAACCCTAAAAAATCCCTGTATCTCTAATAATCCTTGCAACAGATACAAATAGCCATGAAGATATATTCATCTGCTCTGACTGATATATATTCAAATACATTTAACCATACACAAGTTTCTGTCTTTCTGTCATTTCCCCTTGCACTGTACTTGCATCACCTTACTCTGCACTTACATGTACATGTATGCTCCACCTCTGGCAATTTTTTTTCTTTTTCTCACATACCCATGCATTAAAGGCTTAATCAAAAACAATATAGTGCATGCCACAAAACAATATAGTGCATACCACAAAAGTTTCTTTTTTTCTATGGGAAAACATTCTCCTGAATTTTGTAAATCTCAAATAAAACCTGTGACTAATGGACAAAGAAAAACGCACTTGTATAATTCATAAACAAAGAAACAGATATGTCGCACGGGCAGTTCTAACTAAAAATATTTTGCCGGTTGAAATGACTGGGATTAATTACAAAAAATCATTTGTCGCAGAAAAACAATATATATGCCGAAAAAGGTGAAAGAATGGCTTCAAATTTCACAACAAAGAAAAATAGCTGCAGTAGTATCGAGTTACAGCATGACAAATGCGTGGTCGAGAATCCGCAATTTGAAAATCCTTTGATGTATAATATCTTAGAGTCATTCAAATATCACATTGGCTGCGTTTCAAAACAAGAATTCAGGCGGCAAAATATTTAGAAACAATATCTCGATACATATCAGGAAAATACAAAATAATTATTGCAAGGCTGTTTGCATTTTTGTCGCCCTTTGTCGTTATCATGAAACATTGCGATGTTCTGACACATTTCCGGAGAGTTTCGCTGTACCTTTCTGAGCTGTAGTGGCGATCTCTCACGTAAAAAACTCTGGTGTGCATTTCACTGGAGTCCTAATCCCTTCTACTTTCGCAATATTGATAATATTGGATTTATAAACTAAACTGCTTCTCCTTCGTAGGCTTAGTTCGTAACCTCTATTTCACTAGCACCACCGAAATATCGAACTTACTTGAATAGTAGCCTTCGCAACACTCATAGATCCTCGACACCCAAACGCTGTATCAAACTCCGACTTGTAGTAGGACAAAGTACCACCGCTTAAAACAACCCATCTTTCTTGCCATCCATGCAGATAGTTAGTCCATTTTGACAAGGTCCCCTGCAATTCTGGTAGTTGAGGCTGCGAATTACTGCAATCTAAATCGTCATCTTCCTCGTCGCTTAAGCTTGGCGTGTGTTCCCCGGACATTGTTGAAACTAACTTAGAAAATTTAAAATCTTCTAACTAGTTCTACGGAGGAAACTGAACTAAAGATATATCAAGCTTTTCGCCGTTTCGTGCTCCTCCTACAGAAAGTCCACCATGTTTTGTGGTGAAAGGCTTCGACGTGACGTCATGCTTAGGTACCAGTACCCCGCTGAATATGGCCAAGAGCCAAATGGTCAAAGAAATTATTACTTGATCTATATTTAACAATTGTTTGCCGAAGGCGAGGTGAATATCGTCGAATAATCCCCGAGATTCAGCTCGGGGATTATTCGACATCTAATTCAATTGTAGGTTTCGTTGAGGAGCACATTCGACAATATTCACCGAACCTGAGGCGAATAATTGTTTTAGTATAATTTCAGAGCTGAGCAACGGAGAAATTTCTAAAACCATTACATTTTAGTAACATTTATTAACATTTTATTTTAACATTTTATGTAAACCGCGCGGAGCAGTTTATATAGCGTCATATAAGGAACCGCTCGACCAATCAGATTGCTGGAAACTCTTTGCTCAGCTCTGAAATTATACTAATAGGATTTAAGTTGATTAATGGAAGTTAGCATGCATATATATGTATGGCTCAAATAATTGAAAGCGTTCATCTCCCATTTCAACGCTCCTTGAATACAAACATACTCCCTCAAGATTAACCTAAAGAATTTCTATCGAAATTCTATCAAGCAGGAGCCATCTAGAGCAAATTGAGATAATAATCACGGCAATCTCAGCACTTCTCCCCTCGACACACGATTATTACCAGCCGCTGTTTGGGAATCGAGCCTGCGCTCCACCTCCTCTTACGGGATAGACTGGACCCAAAAGTTAGGGAAAGACTTTCAAATTTTTAATTTTCCCCTCTTCCCCATTGTATTATTGACCTTCCACGTGCATGATATCAGGAACCAGTATAGATGAATGGTTAGGGGAAAATGGGAGGATCATCACAGAAAAACACAGATGGTTTACATCTTAAACTTTTTTTTATTTCATTAGCTCAGCATCGAAAGAGTAAAAAGGATTAACTTGACTGTGTTTTAAAAAGAGAACTGCTGGATACCCTGCGTGAAAGCTTTAATACAGAAAGTTTTAGTGGAAAACTTGAGACTGAGGCAGAATTGGCCACAGTTACCAGTAAGTAACCTTCCAGTTCTGAGAACCAACTCAGCTGTGCTTCCCTTATTATTAAAACTGTTTATAAGAACTCACTCTACAAATATTTGGTTACGTAGTTATCAATTACTCCATTTATAGTACTGATATATGTAGTGTAAATACTAAATCTGTTATGTCTCTTCCAAATTTCCTGTTAGCCTTTTGGCTGTTTCATAGGTGTCCTACAATTTAATGGTGTTACTTTTTTTAATTATACTAGGGTGGATTTAATAAATAAAATCCATTTCTTTAAATGTAATTTAGAGGGGATAAGAACTTAATAGATAAAACAACAACGTAATCTTTCTTCTAAGAACTTGTGGCAAACATTAATTACTCATGTGGTTGGTCACTTTCAGGTTTTGTCTCAGTGTTGGAGGCATCACTTTCATAATCTTTATTTGGATCAAAGTAAGGAGTGTCCCTTGTCATCATTTCTTCCATTCTTGTTAGCAGTTGTTCAAAAGATGGTCTCTCTTCTGGGTCTGCTTTCCAACAGTCTAACATCAGCTCATATCTGGTGAAATACAATGTTTGCTGCATTAAATGAAGAAATTAACATTATGATAACATTATCATTAAAGTGCACCTACACCCCAAAAATTTTTTTCGCTTAACGAAGTAAGCTTATTTTTTTGAGTATTTCTGCGCAAAAATTTTTTTATTTGCTCAAATCTTCAATTTTCTGTGCTCAGTCAAAATACGTAAAATCTTGTGTTGTAGAAGGATGTAGCAACGTGCGAAATTTGCAAGAGGGTATCGCACTTCATACATTCTTCATACAACACACCTAGTCGGCATATTTCGGACAATATCGACGACAATCTTCCCAAACAAGTAAAAATGTGAGAGATGCAGACTTTCGTGTGCTCGATTTGATGTCTTATTACCCGCTAGATCCATTCTTCTTTAAACTCGGTCGTGGGGCAAGATGGCGGCCGATTTTCCGTATTTTGACTGGGCATAGAAAATTAAAGATTTGAGCAAATTAAAAAATTTTTGCACAGAAATACTCCAAAAAATAAGCTTATTTCGTTAAGCGAAAAAAAAATTTTGGGTTTAGGTGCACTTTAAGTATAAGTTAAGCATAAAATGAAAAAATTGAAGTAAGGGTAATATAATGCAGCTGTGGTTGAGTTTGCCTCAAACCTTAAATAATTTAACATACTTAAAACATACTGGTAGCTTCAATGAATATGCTTGAAAAAAGTTCTTTAAGGGCCATATCTCATTGCATGTTTTGGTGAAATTGATTTTAACCTGACAAAGATATACTAAGAATCTGGATAAAAACTTCACTGAGGTGAAAGAAAGAAAGAAAGAAAAACAAATAATTAGTTCCACTTACCACAGAAAAAAAATATATAATGTCAGTTGTAAATCAATTTAAAATGATTGCAGTCTTCCAATATTTTGCATTTAATTTAACATTGTTTGTATTTAAAATGATCTTATCAAACTCTCAGCAATGTATTATAAATTGTAGAAACAAAGAGCTCAAGACAGCGAGCCTTTTTCTAAAAGCATTGTTACTCAAAGGCAATGGTGTCTCCATTGAGTTGTTCCTACTTGTGGCACCAGTGCACTTAAAACAGACTGAGATCATACAATTCTTATAGCAAAAGTTTCCATGAATTTTTCTTTTTTCAGAAGTAAGGAAATAATTTGATATCATTTTATTTACCACTTTGACTGATATCTAGTGTGTATATATCAAAACAAGGACCTGACATGACTAATACAACAATAATCGTAATCATTATGATAAATTTGAAAAGACAGAGTTCATGGTTCTTGTTCAGTTTGCTGGTTCTTTGTATCATATCCAATGACTTCCAAATATTCAATTTGATTAGATAATTGAGCATAATTGTTTCAGGTACAGCTCATCAGAACATATGGCTGGTTTGTCCATTCGATATCCTGACTTGAGAAGTCTGAACAACTCCCTGTTTCTTATCCCAGGGTAGGGGATGCCACCTTAAATGCAGGTTACAGTGGAAGACACAAAAGAGTTGTGATTAAGATTTGTTCAAGAATACAGCAACACCTGTGGCTACTAAGGCTAAGGGACATATGATGTTTTGAAAGAGTGGGGGTGAGCAAGTAATGGACATTTTTTTTTTCTCTTTCCATGCACTACCCTTGTTTTGATCTTAAGCATTTCACAACGAAACTATCAAATGTCCACCTTGATACATTTAATAAATACATTTGTAATTGCCATAATTTGCCTCTTTTTGTCATCATTATCATCAAAATCATAATTATAACAGAAAGTGATAGAGTGTAATACAGTAACACTAATAATGCCGTACATAACTAATTTAAATTTGAACCAAAAACAAATGCCAAAAGTGGGAGCTTCTGTCGGATTCTTAGGGCATCTGATCTGCTGCCTGGTATCATTGCTTTTTGAAATGAAGGAACTTTTTTGTTGTTCTTTGTTTGGCATTGTGGGCCATATACCTCTTAAACCTATTGTTTAAGACCCAAAAGTACTGACCATACCTCTGAAACTAGAAACAATTAGATATATCTAAGCTGATGCATCCTGCGTTTGAATTATAATGATTTCTCTTAATAACAAGTGAGGATTTTATTGTTACTGTCAATAATGGATCCAGTGTTTTGACCTACCCATTGTGCACATTTCCCATAGAACTATACCAAAAGACCACCTACAACAATAGAAAATGAAGAGTGATCCCTCCTGACATTTTAATTTTGAACTATTGGCTAAAATGGTTTTGTAATTTTTCCCTAAGGTGACTGAAGATGTGCATTCATGATATAACCTTTTGACTGAAGCATACATTCTTTCAGTAGAAATCTTCCAGTCTAAAAATGAAAAAGTTTGTACAGTCTTCAGGAATTCAGAGAATACAAACAAAGTAATACGGATCAGAGCATAGTTAGTAGAGGAGACTATTTACTATGATCAGAGTGGTGTTGTTTTTATTGTTTTAAAAGGTGTCAATCAACTTTTGCACCTTCCATCATGTAATAGTTTACTTGAAGGATGGAAGGATGGGCCAAACATGTCGTTGGTGCTAGATTGTGTGCTAATGCTAGCTATCATGAAAAACTTCTCTTTTTGAAGAGAAGTCTTACAGAGAGAGCTCTTCTCTTTACAAAAGTTGTTAAATTGATACTTTCTCCAGCAAACATAGGACACAATAAAAGAGGAAAAGTCGTTGTTCAAACTGTTAAAGACTTACACATCACTTTTTGAAGTGTATATGGCGCTGTGTAGTAATTCAGGTGCCATCCATTTGATTGGCAGTTTTTTTGTGTTCTTCATTTCATATATGTCTCCATACGTGTGACGTAACATGCCAAAGTCAGCAATTTTCACAGCTCTGTCCTCACCAAGAAGGATGTTACGTGCGGCCAGATCACGGTGAACAAATCCCTTGCTGGACAAGTACTCCTGTTTAGAAAGACAATACAAGTCAAGGTCTTTTTCCCCTCATACTAAGTTTTTGAGTCCAAACAATACACTGCTATTGATCATATCACTCTATTGCCAAAATTAGTTTCTTTTCCAGATATCTTGCTAAGATAAAACAAAACGATTTATAGGTCACGAAGCATTCAGAGCTTGAAACAGATGGTCATTGAGAAGGAATTTTATTCCTTATAATCTTGGAATACGTCTGATGTAATAGTTTTGTCACTGGCAGCAGATCAAATATATCTCTCATCTTAGCACCTACCATTCCCTTTGCTATCTGCCACGCGAAACAAAGGACATCTTTGACGGAGAAGTCGACCTCTTGCTCAGCGTCGCCTTCTGTTTGCTGCTGTTCCTCTGTATTCTTAGATTGTGGCAAATCACGTTTGGCAAATTGCACTGGTGCGTTAAAATTTTCGTCGTCATCAATGATCAACTTCACTTCATCATTCTCTTGATTCCTCTTACTATACTCATTCTCCGTCTTCCTGTCTTTTAAATTGTCCTCAGCGTTACCATCGTGCCGAAGATCAGTAGAAGAATCTTTCTTATAGATGATTTCACGCAAAGTGGGCAAAATCACTTGGAGTGGGTCAAGTGCGTTTTGTCCACATAGCTCATGAGGAGGAACCGTTTCGGGAATTTGAATTTGGATTTCTTTAGTGTCAAGCAATAATGTTTTTTTTTCGGATTCACTCTCTCGCTCCGCGGTACCTCCATAATCTTCAGTGGATTGACTCACTTCAGAGCTTTCCAGTATGCCCTGGTTATTGGACTCTTCGCCTTCTTTCGCGCTTTCTTCGGAAGGTGCTGATGATTGGACCTCCTGGACTATCGTACAAATTTCTTTACTTACAAACGATGGTGTAAATTCGTTGTCTGTTTCTCCTTCCTCCTTGTATTCAGCACGAGCTTTTTCCTTGGTTTCGTACTCTTCGCCCCTATTGCCTGTTGTCAGTGATGGTATTACATCCAAACATTTGAATTCTTCACTCTGCTTCTTACATTCGCTGCTCACGGATAGAGCACAAACTTCTCTTATTGCAATGCAATTTTCTCCATCATCAAGAAATGGAATAATTTTATCGTCTTCTTTCTTTTCTTTAATCTTCTCAGGGTTTCGTCTGCATCTCTCAAAAGTGTTGCTGACAACATCTGCTAGTGAACCAACATTGAATCTTTCAGGGAAGCTTCCTTTACCCGGTTCTGTTACGATTTTTTCATCCCTTTCCTCTTCAGTTGATGGTTGTTCATCCACTTTGATAGAAATGACGGACGTATTGCTTATGTCATCTAGGTTACCAGAAATGTTCATGAATTCTATAACACTCATGACTTCGTTTCCAGTATTTTCATAGCCATGTAAGGCTGCTTGTTCTGACATATCTGAGTTGGCTTCTTGCGAACTCATTTCACTATCTGACCATGCAGGATCGGCAATGGATTCAAATATGACACCGTCGATGCCCTTTTTGTTTTTGTTCTGAAATAAGTATAATACTCTGTGAAAAACAATTTATCATGTCAGCTTTTATAAAAAAATAAAATTCAAAAACGGAAATTATTTTAAATGTCGAAAAAAATTAAGATCCTTTAACTGACATGGCACCGGCAATAAAAAGGCTTTTACGCCTACACGTTCTCAGACAGTTTCCATTCTGAGCAGACAGGTCACTTTCCTGACCTTCAGTCCATCGTATTGGTTGCAAATTGTGCAAAGCATTTTAAATTATTCTATTTTGTCTAACAGCACTTGAGGTTGAAGCTGTAATGATATTCTACCTGTAGCCTTTTGTTCCTCAGCCACTGAAGGAGATCTCCTTGTGGAACATATTCCAGGATTAGCATGATTGGTTCCGACCTGTCCCAGTAACCAATCATATTTAGCACATTCCTGTGAGTACCAACTCGCTGCATAAATGAAATTTCTCTGAGGAATTGTTCTTTCCCTTCCTCGATAGCTCTTTCTGAAAGAGATATGATGAAACAGACCCAAGACATTTTGTCAGTTTTAAAATGGAAGCTTACATCTTTGTATGCTGTTTTTGTACATTGATCAAAAACCACCTTCAGTCAAACCTTTCTCTCCTATAATTAGGTGCGTAGGCCATTTTTTGTGGGTGGGTGGGTGTTGGTTAATGATGGTTGATTTATATATTCCACTCAAGACCACTAATGTGAATGTTATGAACATCTTTTATTTTGCAAGTAAAAATCAAGATGAACAATTAACAACGACGGTTACAAGAAGTGCTTTTTATCAAAGGATTCAAGACTCAAGTGTGTCTTAGAAAAAATGTAAATGTGTTCATGTCAACTTACCATTTAGAAGTTTTACAGCAACCACTCTTCCTTCATTAAAATGCACTCTTTCCTCTTTGGGCTTGAAAAACACTTCAACCTTTGGTATCTCTTTCAGGATTGCCTTGTGTACTTTACCAAAGGCGCCTCGACCCAGTTCTTCCATAATTGTTACACGCTGCGGGGGAATCTCCTTTTGCAGAAGGGGAACAATATCGTAGTTTGATCTGAAAGAAACAATGAATATATTTACTTTGCTTTCTTGTTTATGAGAATATTGCACGAATATGAATATGAAGCATTATGGAGGCAAGTAAGGCCAATTTAAGCCTGCATTGCAGGCGTCTTATCAGGGCCAGTTACCTAAGAAGGTGCGATCGTTTATTCAACTGCCCGTGTTTGATTTCGAGATAGAGGACAGTTTAGCTCTTGGGCTAGCTATACTAAATTGCAACATGAATATACGACTGAAGTGAAGAAGGAACAATTTGTAACAATGATTTATTCTGGTACTATGTTAAATTCCAAAATGACACTCGGCGACCCCCCATTGAAAAATCCTGCTTGCGCAGGAAATCTAAAAGGAAATCACCTCTATTTGGCATGGCTATATCACTACTTAAATTGTTCTCAACAAGGCCAATAACGCTCTTTAGCATATGAGCAATATGACGCGAATCCTCTGTTCTGAAGCAGAGCAGGCAAGATGAGCCTATGCTGCCCGTTCGGGGTTTCCCGTTTTGATTCCGCGCCAGAAAAAAATGCATGGAGCGGACTTTCAAATTTCGTAACTTTGATTTTATACAATGTCGGCGATGAAGTCGCAAAACCCATTTGTATGTTGGAAGTTACAGGCTGTATCCTACAAATTTCCACAGAGTTTATTAATTCTATTCCTACCTTCTTGTCTTTTGACGTTTCCTCTTTTTTCTCCTTTGTCTGAAGAAAAGGATACTCACAGTCATCAGAATCAGGAGCCCACACCCCACAGGTACAGCAATGGTTAAGGTTCGTGCGATTGAATTATCAGTTGTCCTTTCTGTTTTTATTGGCCATTCATTGGAGTGATCACTTTCTCCCAACTCATTCCAAGCTGTCATCTTCAGAATGTAGTCAGTGTTACACTTAAGCGAAGGAAGATTCATTGAAGTAGTATTCACAGTAACATTGATTTGATGCCAGGACTCGTCTTCACCTGTCGATTGCTCCTCTCTGTAGTATATTGTGTACAAGGTCAGGGGACAATCATTATCCTGTGGAGGACTCCATTTGAGATTCACAACGCATCCGAACACGTGAACTCCTTTGCTCTTAAGAATCGGAGCTAACGGTTTGTCTGAAGCCAAAAATAACGGAAACAGCTTGGATATTGGGTCAGAAAACAATCAAAGTAAAAAGCCTTACTTTATCGCCTTGGCATAACAAAAATAACTGTTTCCCTAGTGTCTAAAAGCTCAGTCTCTACAACAAGCACGATACATGAACAGTGTGGATTGTGTGAACACGGACAATACCATGCAATAAGGCATGACTGTAAACAGTGTAAACTAAAAGCGTTGAAACAAAAAGGCTGCAAAAGATTCTAAGTAAATTTCATATGTAAATGTTCATGTCGTGTTTGTTGTTTTATCTTTAAGATTTACCGTGACCTCACCTCCTGATGTTCTCACTCTCCACAATTTGCTTTGGTTTAGAACCGCTGCCAGTGGCGTCTCTTTTGTAAAATTCCAGGCTGTTAAAACTATTTCATACTCTCTTTGGCAACTAAGGTGAAGAACATAACCTGTTCCGTTTCCTGACACGTTCACTGCGTTCCAGTGGCTTTTACTCGCTGAAAGTATTTCTCTACGGTAGATAGTGAACAAAGAAGCAGTGCATGGCTTCCAACGGACCACCACAACACTTCCTTTCACTTTGTTAGTCCTGTTGACGATGACCGGGTACCCTTAGAAAAAAAAAATTAAAATAAAAAATAAATAACAAGAGCAAAACAGGCAAACAAATGGAGCCGCTATATGCTGGGTTACAAGGGTTGATACACGAAACCTAGTCGTGATAAGAAGTAAGCTCAAGGTAGAAAAGAAATCGGTACGAGACAAGTCCTCCACCCCATCCTCTTGTGTACTGAGGCTCGTAGAGTCGGCTTTACCTTAAACCTCCAGAAGAGTGGTTTTCCGCTGAGAATCGTTTTCTGTTTGTGTTATTGATATATTTTTTTCACTTAGGAACCAGTCGTTATTTATCAACCCAAGGGAGGAGAAAAATTTTGGGGAGGATCACGTGGTTTTCCTTGGGAGCGGAGAAGGGATCAGTTGTCGACAACAGAGTACAACAGGAGGACTGTAGAAAACTGAATGCCCTACCCCTTCCCCCATGATAAATAATGACTGGATCCAGATGATTTCTGCGGCCAATGACAAACACTTTTTGATGATTTAAGAAAATTATAGATATATAATACCTGTGATGGATTTTACTTGCACCAACACTGAGCGGTTACTTGCTCCTACGTCATTCCATGAAGATACTTGAAATTCATAATCTGTGTCACAGTCAAGTGGTAGGCTACTGTAGTTCAGCTCATTTGTACCCGATGATGTATTGATACGGTGCCAATCGCTTTCTTTATTTCGTGATTTGATGGCTTTGTAGTACACAGTGTACATAGTAACTGGACAGCCATCGGCATCAGGAGATTTCCATTTAATTAAAGAGTTAGGAAATGATATTTCCCTCTCTTTGTTTTCAATAACAGGAGGTAAAGGTGCACCTGTGGAGAACACAAACACAGAGTTAACTGAGTGTTGATAGTAGTTTATCTGATATAATGTGACTTTTACTCAATTCACTCCAAAGCTTTACCATGTTCTGAAGCCGTTTCGCTAGCACCAGCTGTTTCACTAGTTAAAAATACTACTAACATTGATTTCGAGAGAAACGTGCATTAAATTTCAATTAAAAGATTATTCTTAGTTTTATTTGACTGGTTCCCCTTTAAGTGACCGTTCAAGACAGGTGGAAGACAATACAAACAGGCCTTTGGGACTCATTGAAAGATGACCGCGAATTAGAGTTGAAAATTACAATGATTAATGAGAGACAAATTAAGGAATTTGACAACCGACTACTGTATACAGGGTACCCACTAATACGGTGCCGCTTAGTACAAGTTCGGATGTTAGAATAAAGCTATATTTACTAACTTGTGAATAAGTTTATGATTGAGTTTAAATTCATGAATTGTCTAGTTATCATCTACATTACTGGACTGGCTGACAGAGGGTTTGACCTTTTAACTCCCAAGTTCTGATTGTTAATTTCCCCCTCTAGCTGTTACACATTTCCTTGTAATTAATTGGTTACGATCATTTGGTGTTCAATCAAGGTAACAACTTCCACCTGGTAAGTTTGAGTATTAATTCTCACTAACTGTTTGCTGGATAATGTATGGATATTATAGGGAGAAGTTACATGTTAATCACTGTAGCGTTTACGGCGACTCAAATCCAAATTCTCAAGTTCAAGGGCGTATTGCTCCAAAACGCGGTTAACGAGGTGTTTGGGGACTATTTTACTGATCGAAATGATAACCCAAAGTTGACTGTGTGCATGAATCTTTATTCTTGAAAGGCAATCGACCACGAACCACCATCAATGACGAAAATAATGATTATTCTGACAGTCAATCAATCTATCGAACGATCGATCGTAAACTGAAACAACAATACAACGAAGTTCTATCAATCTAACGAAAAGCCGCGGAATACATGATGAAAGAATCGCGTGTCAAATACTGGGCTCTAAAGTCCATAACGAGATTAACAATACAAGTGAAACAGAACAAAAGTTTGGAAACAAATTAAAAGAGTTTTGATGACTGATAAACAGCCCATTGTTTGATCTAAATGATGGGCGTTCACTGACTCGCAAATTGGCACGCCGATTTTGGCCTTTAAATCTTAAATCTATACAGATCATTGCAATATTTGTTTGTATATTGTCGCCCAACACTGAAAAGACTGGAAAGGAAAAAACGAAGTTACAAAGGTACTCACATATCGGTCCCGCTTGTGCCAGAGGTTGAGAAAACGAAAGGGCGAAAGTTTACCAAGGCTATTCAAAACTTACGAAGAACTGATTAAAGGGACGCTAAATTTGCCTTTTATATGCGCATGGTGACGCTGAAAGGTCCGATTACAAAACCAATAGAAATACAGAAAAACAGATAAGCATTGTAACTATGTGGCTATCGAAGATCATTCTGAAATTAGTGAACTAATTAATAATCAATCAAAAAAATGAGCCGAATGGCTAATGTCCTTAACAATCACTTTGGGGAGTTGAAGAGTTAGACAATAGAGTAGAACCTGGTACTTTTCTTCCGCATCGTCCCAGATCCATCTCTACCACTTTACCATTTCGTGTTTACTCGTACGTTCGAGAGATTGACACTTTCCTTTCCGGAAAATAAAAACACTGCGTACAGATTCACTTTAGGTTATGATATGAAGCATGCCATAATCTTTTACGGAATGTTTCTTAATTTTTTAAAAAAAAAATCATTAAGGTGTACACTTAAGCTCGAGACCATTTACATTTCAATTCATTTAAAAGGAACAGTTGTTATTCTATGATTCTAGGTTATCTATAACCATAAACGTCAATTTGAAAAGAGTTTTCGGTGTGTTTTATAAAGAAAAGGTTCGTGGTGTTCAAAGAGAATCGATAGGTACATTCCTTTATCACAGCGCGTTTATTTTGGAAAGATTACGTCCAAAAGACTGACGAACCTGCCGGTACTTTTGTCCCATACACTTCTACTCTAAGAGATTTGTGATTATGATAGTCAACTGGCTGGAGCCGAATGATCCGAGCCCTTGTCACTTCTACCAGAACATGTTTCAGTGTTTCGTTGCTTTGTAAATTTCCGCCGAAAATCTGTGGAAAAATTGATCAGACATAAATTGAAACTTTTCGTCCTCGAAATATAATCAAAGGTTCATTGAAGTATATCTATGAAGTATCAAAGTCTTTCTTTTATAATCTACTGTAAATTAAATTTGATTCTCGTTAGCGTTCTTGGGAAGACTCCATACAAACTTGAAACTGAGTTAAAGTCACCTTCAGGTTATTTGCTAATATGAGTAAAAAGTATTACTGTTAACTAGTCGATGAACAGACGGGTAACTGAAAGGTTGTTCGTTATTGCCCGTCCTCGGAGAGGCTGGAGGCTGTCTTGTTGAGGAAATAATAAAAGATTTCTCTCACGGCATTTCTATTTTTCAAACCTTTTCCGCGTTGTTCTCCTTAAAAGTGATCCAATTCTTAAGAAACAAACGCATTTTATAACTTTTGGTCCACTCTTCGCGATATGGATGTCCTAGAGTAGCCACAGCACAAATAAAGAACACATCTCCCAGCTCAATTTGCAGGTAATCATCAATATTGTTGTCATCTTTAGGCGACCAGGCTCCCGTGCTATTACTGAGGCGTGCTTTGAAAGGTTCATTACCCGCACGAAACGACGAGGCTGCGAAATTTTTATCGGGGTGTTTGTTGGAGCTGGCCAAACCAACTGCCTGTGCCTGACACGCTTAAAAAGCAAAAAAGGCAATAAATAAGAGGAAACATCGTAAATTCGAAGCCTTATCAACGGTATCCTCCCCACTGAGAACAGCCATCTATCTACAACGGCCACGTACCTCGCTATCTACAGTTGCTGTTGTGAAAAGGCTTCACAAGAAGAAAAGCGATAAAATTCAGAAAGATGTTGTTTACTTGTCTTAAAATGCTTTACTCTCCCGAGAAAATCTTTTGAATTTACCATTTATTCTCTCGGCCCCCTCCCCTATTTCCTCTAACCAGCTTGATAGCATAAATAAAGTTCAATTCCTTTTGGGGGGACCCCAGAGTTTTTTTCCGTCCAGCGTTCCTCTCAAAACGATGAACATCTTTCTCTATAAGGAAATCGCTCTTAGCAGTGACGGTAGAAGTTAGACAAGACAGTCACAACAGCTACTTACCAATCCTTGTCTCTTTCTCGGAATAAACCTTCACGTCGCATAAGGACAAAGTTCTGTCAGCGCCTGAACCTTTCATTAACACAAATGTTCCGACAATTCTAGGCAGACAATATATGAAAAGTCGTTCTAGAATTGTTAAAAGCGTTTCGGAATGGTTCTTTCCTCCACAAAGCAAGGTTGAACTTCTATTTTCGCTGTGATTTCCTGTTGGACATGAATACAAAACACTCATATAACTTGCAATTCACGCAATACTGCCTTTTGTAATTTTTTTTTTCTACATGCACCATTCAGTTTAATCGGGGATCGGATACTTGAATGAATTTCTTTGAATTTTCATTTCTCCATGAGAAAGGCATAAACCATCTAGGAAAACAGTTGTTCTTGGGGCTCCTTTTTAATTTTAATTTCAGTTCTTCTGTGGTTTAATTTGTAGCTATATCCATGGAGGGCTGGTTTTCATGAGCAAAACTCCCACTCAGATAACTTAGTTATATTTCGTGATTCTTTGAACCTACCAATCCAGACTTGGAGGCCTTCCTTTCGATGGTTGAATATAACCATAACCTTGGCTACAATTTGCGGTGCTCCCAAGTCCACTTTCCACCAGGGGTCCTGCTGGAGCTGAGTTGTAGCACAGGAACGAACGTCTCCATCCACTGCTTTGTCAGCCGTACTATTTTTATGCGTAGCAGACTGAGAAGTAGGCTGACCCAAGGCAATATCTAAAGAAAGTCAAAGTCAATGTGGCTACTGGTATAGCACAATTTTTGTAGCATTGAAATGAACTAGAGGATGTATAATGACGCAATAAGGTAATTGTTAGAGAATATTTGTCTCGCATTCAAAACAGAAAATCTGCTGCATCCCATATATTTATGAGTACCCTGTTCCACAAGAGAAAGATGATTCGAGAATATATTGTAATAGCATTAATTACATTGTTGAAAAGGGACCAGTTCGAAAGCCTCATGGTTACCTTATCCTCTGGGCTCCAACAATGATTACCTATGCTTCTTTTGATTTCGCCTGTTTATTGGAAATAACATTCTTATTTTATTTCAATTCCGTTTGTTGAAACTTTTTCTTTTTTAGTCATTCCACCATTCCGCTCATTCACCGTTCCACCGTTCCACCGTTCCACCGTTCCTTCATTTTACCGTTCTACCGTTCCGCCGTTGTTCCGTTCTTCCATTCCGTCATTCTGTTAAAGAACTCGAGGTATCGTATTTCGTAGCTTGCTCGGTTCGCAAATTTAGCGGCCCTTTTTGGCAAAAGTCGCTGATTCAAACAGTACAATGCTCTCTTTTCAAAGAAAAAAATTTACTCAAGGCCTAAATGATGCGCAAATCACGTCTTTTGGGATATTTTTGAAAGTAAAAGATTTGATTTCAGGAAGGCGTCATGAGGTAGATATCTTATTCATTCTAACTACCATTAAAGAACGAATTTTAATTTTCGTAAATTTATTCAAATGGACTGTTTATACTCTATTTCAACAATTGGAAAGGAACGAATCTTTGATCAGTTCATCAGGTATTTCTTGGCATCTTAGGAAATCACTTAAGAACACTCTTCATAATCCTGTTTGTTGTAGCACGGATGAACTTAGAGTGGAATTCACCTTGTGTCAGCGGTATTCCATATAACTCAACCCTCATACAACAGCTGCTGTGGTGCTCCCGAGCAATGATACGCAAACGCCGAGCAACAATCCTGGAGCACAAAATGTGCTTAACCTTTTCATTAGGGTCAAAATTTCCCGTGATGATCTGTAGATGCAAGAAATATCACAAATGAACAAAAGTAACTGTCTGATTTTCTTATTGTAAGCATTCCTCGAACGGATACAGGGCAACTTTGAAATGAAAAATTCGACTTAACTCTAGCAAATATTTTTCCAAACTAAAGGATATATTTCGAAGACCAACTGCAGGTTAACCACTCGTTTTCAGTGATTGCAAATGATGATTCCATATATCAGTTTGCTTCTCGCTTAAAAATATACAATAACTGGAAGATCTAAAGTTAACTTTTGATTTTTCATCCATTAACTAGGAGATTTTAAACAGTCTTTATCGAAATCCTGTTCTCCCAATATAAGGGTTCCAGACCTCGCATCGCATATATGAAAATTGGTTGTTAGATTCTATTTAATCATCAGCCTAGGTCGTGAGGGACTGATACGAGAGAGAGTAGCACAATGCATCAACCAGTTGTGACGTGCTTCAGCATCGAACAGGCGAAGAGATTTTTCCCTCCGTGTGTTATTCGATTTATTAGCACGGTTTGTGGTATCATTATAGCGTCTGAATTCCTTGTTTCCTTTCGCTGATTTGCAGGAGTCCTAGAGGGGTAATATTTTTGCCCTTGTACCGTATTGAATTGGCTTTTTGTGCCATATTGTGTTTCCCGCGTTTTTTCTCAAAAGAAACATGGCTGCCAACAAGGACGATAATTGTGCCTCAGAAAAGCAAAGTAGTAACCAAGAGTCTAGCGCACTCATTGCTGCGTTAAATAGTATGAAAGCTAGCATCGATTCAGGGAACAACTTGCTACAAGAACTCGTAAGCAAGAAACGGTCATCCCCTAGCGATGCCATCATAACATCTAAACGAAGGAAATCTCGTACGGCTTCACAGAAAGCCAACATGATGACTATCAGCTTTTGGAAATTAGTGATAACATTGCTACGATTAATAACAACCTCAACGCAAACGCAAGAAAAGCATCTTCATGGTATGAGTCGAACTTACCTAAGGGGAACCTCTCCAAATACCATACCATGTTGATTAACAATAAACAAAGAGACAGGAAAGATGAGATAAAAGTAAAAGTAAATATACAAGGAACTGACATTGATTCTATGAACAGTATTAAGTTACTAGGTGTCACTATTGACAACAAGCTTAATTTCAATGTGCACATAAACATCACGTGCTAGTAAGCTAACCAGAGGATAGGTGTACTAATGAGAATAAAAAACTTAGTGCCCACCGTTGCTAAACTACACCTCTCTAAGGATGCTATCCTCCCGTACCTCACCTACCGCCATCTCACCAGGCATTTTTGCCGAGCAAGTGATAAGAGAAAACTTGAACGCACTCAGGAGAGGGGTTTGCGTGCAGTCTTCAGAGATAGTAAATCTACATATGAGCAATTACTTAAGAAGGCTAATTTAAAATCTCTTTATGAAAGAAGGCTACAGGATATAGCTTGTTTGATGTTGAAAGTGAGGCATAATCTGTGCCCATCGACTGTCAAGAATTTTTTTTCATTAAAAAGTTCCCCTTATAACCTCAGAGGCGCAGATTTCCACATTCCTAGATTTAATACTGTTACTTATGGAAAACATTCCCTAAGATATATTGGCCCTTTGCTGTAGAATCGACTTTCAACTAACATAAAAACCTCACCTTCTCTACAATCTTTTAAAAAACAGATCTGTTTAACTAACCTTTCGTCTAAATTGGAATACGATTGTGAGAACTGTGTTTTATGTAGCACATGAACAATTAGCTGGCTCAGGGAACGCTCTATGTGCTTATTTAATTTAATAATGAGTATTAAATAAGGTAGTTTAAATTTTTAGCTCTTATTGTTAATGATGTAATTAAATTTTATCTATTGTAAATGGTTAGATTAGTTGAATTTTAACCTGTTGTATTGAGTTTAGGTGTCCCCTATTAGTAGAGGGTTTCTTACCCTCGGCTAGATCGATCTGACACATAAATAAAGTTTTTCATTCGTTTATTCATTCATTCATCCGCAGACGAGGATGAAAGCGATGCTTCAGAGAAAGCAGATATGCTTCATCAACATGATGCAAGTGAGGCAGATGCCTTAAGTTTATTTGGAGATGATATCGATGAAAGAGAGGATATCGACCTTGAGGATATATCGGATGGAGACTCTGACAACGCTAATTTCATGTCTGAAATCAGTTCCTTTCTGAGTTGTTCAGAGGACACAGGTCCACCAAATGCAAGTGGTCTTGCTGACTCCGTAAATGGAAAATTTAATGCAGAGTATTCTGTGGAGAAGAGAAAAGAAATTCTCCAGAAATATAAGACTCCGAGTAATTGTGACAACGTGCTTGTTCCCAGAGTAAATGAGGAAATATGGAGCAAACTGTCCACAAACTGCCAAACGCTCAGATATCCGAACTTCAGCATTACAAGACGCACTTGTTGAGGTGTCTAGTACTATTATATGCACAACTGATAACTTCTCGAACACAGAGCAAAGAAAACCATCCCCAGCTACAAAACACTGATAAACCCCTTGCTGGACTCTGTTGCAATGCTAGGTCATGTTTGTACAGAACTGTCATACAAAAGAAGGGATGCTTTAAAACCTTTCCTACATCAGGATTTTCGTCCAGCATGTGCTAGAAGCAGAAAACCAGGGAAACTCCTGTTTGGGGATGATTTACCTAAAACACTTCAAGAATTGAGAACTACTAGTAAGGTCATGACCAAAAACAGTTCTGATGCCAGATACTACAAGCAAAATACTGACCGTCCTAATCAATACAATAACAGATATCAGCAGAAGCCTTTTTTAGTGAACAGAGAGAGGATTTTCAATCCTCCCAGATCAAAACCAACTCAGGGCTTGACCCCCTTCAAGAGAAAGTTCACAGACTTAGAGGATATAACAATTCAGGCAAGTAATTTTCCTAGGTATATTAGGGACCATCTGTTACCTTATCTCAGGAGGAAAGCGAAGTCCTTTAGAGCTGGCCAGGTATCCTTATTTATGAGAAATGGATGCAATTGACATCAGATCCTCATATTTTGCATACAATTGCAGGCCAAACACTTGAGTTTTTCTTCCCATCCTTTTCAGCAATCATATCCTTCCAATTCTATCTGTAAAGACCACGTTGCCCTTGTTGAGGCAGAAATTTCCTCATTGAAAGAAAAGGAAGTTATAGTCCAATGTAATCATGAGTTAGGGGAATTAATATCTCCTATATTCTGAGTTCCTAAGAAAGATGGTAATGTGAGACTCATCCACAATTTAAGAAAGTTGAATTGTTTGGTTGAAAACTCACATTTTAAAATGGATTCTATCCATACCGTTTTGAAACTTGTCACACCAAATTGCTGGATGGCTAGTTTGGACTTAAAAGATGCATATTATTGTGTTAACATCCATCCTGATTTCCAAAAATTTTTAAAATTCTCCTACAAGGGCACCCTATACAAGTACACAGCCTTCCCAAATGGTTTGTGCATCTGCCCACGAATGTTCACTAAGATGATGAAACCCCTGTTAGCTTTTTTGGGACAATGTGGTCATATCATATGTGGGTATATTGGTGATCTATATCTGCAAGGCAAAACCCATCAGAAGTGCATAACAAATGTAATCGCTGCCATCAGACTGTTTGAAAGCCTTGGACTTGTCATACATCCACAGAAATCAGTCATAGTCCCACAACAGCACCTTGTTTTTCTGGGTTTTATCATAGATTCTATCCAAATGACTATTAGTCCCACTAGAGACAAGATAACCAAGATAAAGACACATTTGGTTTGTCTCCTTAAAAACCCTTTCTCTGTCAAAATCCGTGGCGTGGCCAAAGTTATTGGTCACCTAATTTCTAGTTTACCAGGTATCAAATATGGAGCCCTGTATTACAGAAATTTAGAAATGGACAAGGTTGCTGGTCTAAAATTAGCCAAGGGGAATTTTGAGGAGAAAATGTGCATCTCCCACAAAGGAATTTCTGAACTACACTGGTGGTTATGTAACCTTGATAGCAGTTTTAATACCATATGTTGTCCCCCAGTAGAGGTAACTTTGTATTCAGATGCATCTCTCCAAGGGTGGGGTGCAGTTATGAATGATACATCAACAGGTGGGATGTGGCTACCCACAGAAAGCAGGCATCACATAAATTACCTTGAGTTACTTGTAGCATTTTTTGCTCTCCAGTGTTTCCATTCCTCCCTTTCTGACAAGCATGTTAAAATTATGATTGATAATGCCTCTGCTGTCTCTCAAATAAACAACATGGGTATAAGTCATGGTGAAGAATGTGATTCTCTTGTAGTTCAGATCTGGGAATTCTGCATTTCACACAATATCTGTCGGCTTACAGCCACCCATATTCCTGGTTCCTCCAATGAAATTGTAGATGATGAATCAAGGCATTTCCATTCCCAAGATACCGAATGGATGCTCAACCCTGAAATTTTGACTAAGGCTCTCAAGACCCTTAACTTTAGCCCAGAGATTGATTTATTCGCTTCTCGATTGAATAAGCAATTGCCTATCTTTTGCTCATTCAGACCAGACCCAGGAGCATCATTCATAAATGCTTTTACTATTTCATGGCCTGATAAAAAACTCTACTCTTTTCCCCCTTTCAGCTGTATCTTACAGGTGCTACAGAAAATCATTCAGGATCAGGCAAATTGTGTGCTAGTGGGTCCCGACTGGCCCACTCAAGCATGGTACCCTCTACTGAAATCACTCCAGATTTAACAGTAGTTCTTGATTTCCTAACTATGCTACATGAGAATGGAATGTCCTACAGCACTGTGAACACCGCAAGAAGTATGTTATCTTCTATCCTTCAGCTTAATACCAGCTCCTCACTCCCAACTGGACAGCTTCCCATAATGAAGCGTTTTATGAAAGGGATTTATGACCTTCGTCCTTCCTTGCCTAGATACACAGCAATGTGGGATCTGAACATTGTGTTGAATTATTTCCGTAAAGGCGAATCTGTATCAGAGCTTTCCTTGAAGGAGTTGACTTTAAAGCTGACTTTCTTGTTAACTCTTCTAAGTGGACAAAGGTGTCAGACAGTCAAATTCTTTTCAGTTAAAAATATGGAGCTCTCAGGCCACAAATGTACCTTTGTAATTATTGAAAAAGTTGAGCAAAGTCCTGTGGGTACCCATCTTAAACCTGTTGAGTTTCTTACATATCCAGAAGATGAAAAGTTATGTGTTATTAAACATTTACAGGAGTACATTAAGAAAACCCAAGTCATTCGAAACGATTCTGGTTAATTACTACTTAGCCATGTAAAACCTCATGGCCCAGCCAGCAAAGACAACATCTCCAGGTGGTGCAAGAGTGTTGAAATCTGCAGGTATTGATGTGTCTATATTTACAGCACACAGCACTCGTTCCGCTTCAACATCCTTTTTAGCAGAGAGGAATGTCAGTATCAAAGACATTGTTACCTCCGTGGGCTGGTCAAATGAGATTACTTTTCAGCGTTACTATCTTAAACAAGTCAACAATGCATTCAATTTTGGTGACACGATTCTGTGTTTGGCTGACACCACCAAGTGATCTTACTCAAAAAAAAAAAAATTTTTTTTTCGTAAAATTGGATTCTTCTTCTATTACGAGTTGTGTTAACATTATCATGTTGTAATACACAAGTGTTGCGCTTGCTGACGACTAATAAACCCTAATAAACCATGGTCATATAATGTTCACCTAGTTTTTTGAAATACAATTTCTTCTAATGATGCCTCTATGATTGCTCTAAAATCTCGCACCAGTCCCTCACGACCTAGGCTGATGATGAAATAGAATTGGAAATTAAACGAGACTTACCTGTAAGTTGAAGTTTGATTGTAATTCTATGAGTCATCAGCCAGGAGTGAAGGGAGTGGTACGCCCACCCTATTTGCAGTTTATATCCCCACCCGGTGTGGTATGTTAATCATTGAGGCAATCATTGGACCCTCTAAAGCCTGGTTGATGCATTGCGCTAATCTCTCTCGTACCACTCCCTACACTCCTGGCTGATGACTCATAGAATTACAATCAAACTTCAACTTACAGGTGAGTCTCGTTTAATTTCCAATTTTATATTAGTTTGGCAATGGTTTGCATTCAATAGGCAAATAACATTTTATTATAATTCTAGAGGTGACTAACCCTCAAAATTCCTTTCTCTTTATAGTCTGTCCAAGTTGTTCCATCCCTGGAAGATTGGAGTGTGTACTTCTTCACCCACTGATCCCCTTGGGAATTCCCCTGAGTTGACACAGCACAGATGATATAAAGCTTCTCAAAGTCAACCTGTAGATATGGCTGACTGTCATTTGTTGCTGCACACCACGAGGATCCTTCAACGTAGTTCAATCGACCATTCTTAGCAGGTGTGTTATTCTTCAGGACAGAAGACGAACTGATATCCTTATCCAAGATGTATCCATTGCCCAGTCCCAGCTCCATGTGCTGACATCCTGGAGCTGTGAATATGAAAACACTCAATAATCATCTATTACTTGGGAGGATCAGGGTAATCCAGACGATTTTATGGAAACCAGGCTCAAATCGACCGCTTGCAGAATACGTGAAGGGACTATAAATTCATTGGGTACGATCACTCGTAAAGCCACCGATGAAATCCTAAAATTGAAGGAGCATGCATAAAACGAATGAAGTCAAACGAGAACTTATCTGCTATATTCATTTACGATAAAAAGTGAATGCAGTCCAACTACGGTAAATCATAAATTAGAATTCAAATTGTCGGACATGCCTAGGGAATCGTTTAAACAATGAATGTTACATACTAGATATGCAGTATTTGTTTGTATTCCTAATACGAGAAAAGCAGTTGCATTTTACTCACTTTTGATTCTGTAAATTTCAACCCTGAGGCAGTTCCACATATTACGTTGGGTTGGATTAAATCGAAAGTATCTTGCGTACACTGATCGTGGTAACTTGTGCCGGTCGATTGTCGAACTGTCACCTTTCCTCTTAAATTCCTTTAAAAAAAGTATTACTTAAACATTACTTCTTCGAAGGAAGAGGGAAGAAGGAAGAAAACGTGTTTCCAAAAGCAAAAAAAAAAGAAGAACAAGGACAAAAAAATATCATTTATGCTTAAAAAATTCGTTCTTCGCTGCCACATTAAGACTTTCAACACTGCCTATTATATCTATTACTATGAAAATGGTACCATTGCCTCGCCGCTGTCTTCCTTATAAGTTTCCCAGTTTCCTCCATCCAAGGAATAAGACAGTGTGAAAGCGGTAACCCATTCGCGTATCCCCTCTATATCTCCTTGGGTAGCAAGACCGCATGCTTGAATTGCTTCTCCGATGTCAACTTGAAGCCAATCATTGTTACTGTCTCTAGTTTTTGAACACCAACCATCGCCTCTGTTACTGTTGAGTCGCCCATAAGCCGCTAAAACCTTAGAACTGAATGTTGAAGATGCACTCAGCTGGTTATCATGGATGATACTGGGACTGGCTACACCAACAGGATTACTGAAGCAATCTGTAAAAATTGATTTGATAAAATGAATTAATTATCGACCAATCAGTAGGTTTACTAACCTTTCTTTGCAATGACAGCTGGCATTTTCGTAATTTATAACCTTATGACTTTGCATTTAGTTCGCTTCTAATTTCTTATTGCAAATGATAATAGTAAACAACCTCTGTGACTTATGAAATGATTCCTAGTGATAATTTTAAAAATAACTGCAGCTGAAGGTCGTTATACCATT